CAATTTTTTCCACACTCAATGTTTTAAAACAAATATTTTAAGTTCTATATTTTTAGTTCAATCTAAAATATATCTTCAATCTTTTGTTCGATCACTTGTAAAAGTAATAGTACACTTTCAACAGGCCGCATGATAGTAATTTCAGTAAGACCACAAGTATGGGAGATAGTAACAGTGATGCTTGTCTGTTTTGCTGTTCTTTCTATTATGTATTTATTTCATTTATCACATTGTCCTAATTTTCTGCCACCTCATTCTCTGCTTCCTCTCAATCTTTTCTTCTTTTGTTCTGAGCTCATTTTAACCATCTTCCCACTCGTATGAGGGTGGTGTGTTTGGGATAGCACATGATAACAGTGCTCTGACTCAAATATAGTTATTTTGAGTATGCCAGAAGTTCTCCGAAGTATTAATAGTATTTCACTGTCGGTGGCCTTGAGTTGATTCTGTGAATTTGAGAAAACAACAGGCCCACACATAGAGGAATGTAGAGTGTGTTGCTGTGGTGGTTACAGTCACACTATGATAATATGGCTAACTCTCTATACTGCATCATGTTTCATAGTATTTGCAGACGCATCATTTCACATTATGGTTGCGAAACCTGAGTTGACGGGTTGTGGACTTTTTAATGCACGTTGAGGTATATTTTGTGCAATATTTTACAATCGTGTTGGTGTTGGCATGCATGTATGCGTGTTTATGGGTGATTTACTGTTGATAGCTCTCAGTGTGCCAGCATGGGACTTTTTTTTGCTGTTAGCTAACATTGCTAAGGTCATTATTTAGCCGTAAATCTGAGAACCATTGTTTTATACGGATTATGTCTATATATGTTTATTTTCAGGTATGTGTGAGTAACCCCGTGTGTGTATTGGTGTCAGTGTATTTGTGTGTGTGTTCCCTAGACAGATTGGGTGCAAGACAATTCTTTATCCAGACCTCAGTATCAGCACCATCAAAAAGGAATGGAATGCAATGGGTGGATTTGTCCTCAGCTATGGAAAAATAGCGTCGTCGGGTAGAATATATTTTAAGGAGAGGAAAACTCTTTAGTCTACTGAGCATTTCAGAAATTGGGGGTAATAAAAGTGAAGTGTGCAGTTTTATGTTAAAATACTGTCTCTTATGCCAGCTTAATGGATAGAAATGGTGCGTTCGTAATTACCGTAACAATTCTGAACTGTAAAAAGCCTTCACGTGCTTGTAAAACTTGTAATTACAAAATATAATCTCTTTGAGAGCTACGACTTGTACCATGTGGCCGCTGTTCCGCCTGACTACTGCAGATTTAAAGTGTGTTCGACTTGAAGCGGCGCTGTGCCGACTGATAGGTGTTTGACATCAAAGTACCACAAGAGCGATTCGAAAGCATAGAGAGCTTTATTTATGGTAATTACAAAATGGCGTAAACGCAGCCAAAGCTATAAGTTAGCCAAATCCTGACCAGTCAAATTGCAACAATAGCCCCTTTCACACTGCAATCAAATATCAAATAAATAATCAAATAAAATTACCAAAATTACTTTACCGGTAAATACACACATATGCTGTTCTTCACACAAGCAACAGCGTTCTGGCTTTTTACCAGTAAGAGACCATTCACACAAATACTGGTCAATTCTGTGATGACAGGAATAAGGGATGATCAAACAATAAAGACTATATGTGTGAAACGGGCTAATGACTCGGGCCAATGGTGAGAGTTTAAGGCGGGACTATCAGTTTGTCCAACCAACCTTGTGTTCAAGGAAATTACTGCATTTCTACAAAGGAATTATTTTTTGTCAATTCCATTGGGTGCCACTAGAGGCACATATATTACACACTTCACCTTTAAACATTTGCTCGTCATTCACACCAAAAATCCTTTAAGAATGTACCCATCTCTTTATAGTCATGCACATGCTTTGCAATGAGAATAACAGGGACATATGCGATACTAACATGAAAACGAAGGCAGATATGTGATTTTAGATTGTCTTAGGTACACTATGTCCATTAAGATCACAATCACTCCTTAGATAACACTCCTCAGATAAGCCACTCGCACCCCTCACATACATGTATATAATACCCAGCATGCATCTGGCTTCATGAGGGGAGGATGGGTGGACGCAATGATGAGGGTATGTTAACAAAAGAGAAAGAATGTGGAAACAAAAAAAACAAAGGTAGATAAAACAAGACAATGTGATAACAGAGGGCAATAAAGGAATTGAGGAGACAGATAGAACATGATAGAAGACAGAATAAACCCGTTTAAAAGACGTCTAATAGCCGTCCAAACACAGCCCAGACGTCTAGGCTAAAACAAGGGAAAATTCAGGCTTCCAGTGAAAATTGAATAGACGTCTAAACCATAGCCCAAGAATAGACTGGTCATCAATTAGATTACAAAGAAATGAAATGAGTGAAGAAATGAAACCAAACACCTTGTAATCACTGTTTACTTTGCTTACATGATGGAATACCATACATATCTCAAGTTATTTTGGCAAAAAAGATGTAACCAAATTCAAGGTTATTTTGGCTAGAAATGGGATAGCCGGACTATATCAAGTCTATAGTTAACCTAGACTGTGAAATGGCTATTTCTTATTTCTATTTCTATTTCTAATGGCTATTGCTTGCTGGGAAGAGATAAAGAAGAAGAATATGGTCTGATGTTTTGAGGAGAAAGCCACATTCTTCATATAACAGGATGCATCGCTCTTTCGAGGCAGATGATGGAGGTGTTTCTGTCAGTATGATCTGTTCCAGGGACTTTGGGATTACACAAGGTCAAAGATCAGTGGACAGAGCAGGAGTTCTGTAGATGAAGGTCACCCGGAGACTGAGACCCCGACATTCCTTTGGAACCACAGAGATTCCTGTTCTGTCTGACTAAAAAGTCAACACAAATGAATAATGAACAATAACTAACAAAGGAACAGTTATTAATAGCCATTGCTCTTTCAGGAAAGAGTCATTTAGAGGCCTCGTTAAATCAAAATTAGAGTTGTATGGCTTTTTGTCCATGTCTTTTAGCTTTGAGGTCATCTATGTGCTAGTGTCAGTGTTATTTTAGTATTATTTCTTATTACAGTGTATTATTATTCATTATTATTCATTATTATTGTAGTATTTATTAATAACTTGAATTAGATTTTATTTTTATAATTTCAGTTTTAGTTTACATTTTAGTCATTTTGTTTGTGCTTGTCATTTTCTTTAGTTTTTGTGTTTTAATATTTCTAATTAGCTTTAATTTATTTTTGTTATTTTAGTACTTCAGCTTAAACTTATTTCAGTCAGTTGCCATGGCAACATTTGTAATTTATAATTCGTTAGTTTTTCATTTAATATTTTAATTTTATTTTATAGAAATAATAAAAAATATGTTTTAGCTATACAATGCTGTATTGTAACAATTTATGTAAATACAACACATGCCTCTAAACATGCAGCAGTTTGATTTGTTTAAGCATACTATACATTTAAAATCTCTCCTTTCTAGGAAAACAGACCAAAAGTATTGATGACTCATCCTACACTATGTAGATTTGTGTCCAATCAGATGCTCTCAGCAATGAAAATGTCCCACCACAAACTACCACCTGCATCTGACTAGCATGACAAGCATAGTATGGAAAACCATGGCGTATTGTTGTGACATAACCAAAGCCCTTCAATATGTCCCACCAAAACTTTCTGTTTACACACAGGTAGAGCCTTTGCAAAAGTCATTAACCAAATCCACAAATGCGATACATTTGGAAGGTATATTATTGCCTTTGCAAAGCAGATTAATAATTTTTCCAGGCAAAATGCTGTGGCTAAAATAATCACTTAGACACACTTTTTTGGTATTTTTCATTTGTGTTCTCCACTGAGACGTGCCGACATGGTAAAACTATGCAGCGGTTTCTTTTTGTCTCATACCCTCCTTGTTGAAAAACAAACTTTTATCAGCATTATCAGTAAGTACACACATGATCTAACAAATTATGGATAATCACATTCAGTCATATGAAGATAAAACAGACTATCAGGCATTTTAGAGTATATGTAAGCATAAATGTATCTGTCTCTCTCTCTCTCTCGTCTCTGTGTGTGTGTGTGTGTGTGCGCATATGTGTGGTCCTGGTTAAACCCTACGTTATGAGGAAAAAATTTCCCCACAAAGATGGTAATATCCGAAATCCTTGTCCTCGTGGGGACAATTTTTGGTCCCCCTGAGTAAAACAGCTTATAAATCCAACTAAATTATGTTTTTTGAAAATGCAGAACATTTTGTGTGATGGGTAGGTTTAGGGTTGGGGGATAGAATACACAGTATAAAAGTGTGTGTGTGGTGGGGTATCTTGTATCTGGTTCATAAGGAGGAGGGTGTTTTCAAGGTTGAAGAGGCTACACAAATGGCCTTATTTCTTGGCCAGCTGCACTTGGTGGGCATGAACACATACACAAACACACACTGTGTTTTACTCACAGGGGGACAGGTGGTAGGCTAGTTTATACTGGCTTGGTTTGAAATGTAAACTATGTTTATAGAGTTATATTGTGAAACTGAACTGTTGTATTGGTCCTTCCTGGATCCTGATGAAAAGTGAAATATGAATTCATAAAACATTATCTAAATTCCATTTCAGGAATTTCAAATCTAAGATGACCTTCAGACATGATAAAATGTATTTTAGGGATTTAAAGGGATAGTTCACCCAAAAATGAAAATCAAAAGAAGATATTTTGAAGAATGTCGGTAACCAAACAGATCATTTGCCATTTGACTTTTTATGGTATTTTTTTTTTTTTTTCATACTATGTCATGGGGCCCATCAACTGTTTGGTTACCCTTCTTCAAAATCTCTTCTATTGTGTTCAGCCTGGAAATAAATAGAAGAAAGAAATTCATACAGGTTTGGAATAACTTGAAGGTGATTCCAACTATTTTTAATCTTATTGTATTTCCTTGTCATTTGCAAAATATAATTTTTTCTTTATTTACTTTCTTTCAGACCTCTGCTGTACTTTCTGAGAAAGACAGAGCAGGTAAGTCCAAATCATCTCAAGTTTTATTATCATAGCCCTGCATTAAGCGGTAGAAGCGATGAAAAATGTATACAGAATGGAAAGCAAAACTGTATGTTAAAAAAGTAAGAAAGAATATGATATGATAATGTTATATATGGCTGTTTCCAATATTAGGATATTCAGTTAATGTTTTCAATATTTGTTTCTCGCCAATTTATCAAAGTGAAAAATCTTGTTAAAGGTTATTAAAAACGTTTATCAGATTTTGTAAATCCGAGTCAAGTTAAGACATACAACCTTGCTTTCCCCCCAAATGATGTCAACTGGTAGCACTGGATCTGTCTAAAGCACTAGCAGATGTTATTCAGTTAGACTATCAGAACAGAGACCTGTACATGTGTCTGGAAATGATTAAAGATTATTACAAGAGTGATATATATCTAGAACAAACCTCTTTGTTCCTTTATGGATGCCTGACCATTTGCTGGCTACAAGAGATGCTTTGTTTGGGCAAAGCATTTTGATTGTCTCACCCTCAGGCTAAGGACAAATGTAGCACTCTAGCTATTAAAAGATTGCTGTTAGCCATTTTCTGCTGCTCATGTGGTCATTTGATGTTCGCTGACTACTATATATCAACTGTTCTACTTGTACAGTTGTCATTTGTTGTGTACTTTTTGTTAACTAAAAGTTGTTTCAGTTACATCAATGCTGCTATGCTCTTCACCAAACACACCGTAATCTAACGTTGAGACTTTCAATTGTCATGTTAAATGTAATAGCACCAGAGTCAGAAATTACTTTGGACATTCACTATGATTAGATAGATAGATAGATAGATAGATAGATAGATAGATAGATAGATAGATAGATAGATAGATAGATAGATAGATAGATAGATAGATAGATAGATAGATAGATGGATAGATGGATAGATAATATTTAGAAAGGAAGGATTCAGTTGCTCAAAAAAATTGTTATGCATTTTTATTATGACCTACAATTTTGCCTCAATAAAGATTTTGTTTTAAGTTAGCGCACATGTATTAACCAAGGAGACAGTAGAGTCAATGTGCTTTAGGGATAAAATGTGTGATGAAAACAATCTACAAGTTGAAAGTTGAAAATCACTTGTAAACAAATATTTGTGTGCGTCATTTACAATAAAGCATTAATGTTGTGAAATTTTCCAAAAAGTATGAAAATATTATTTAACTGTTTGTATTTAGGATACCTTAAATGCTAGCCGAAAGCAGACCTCTTTGTGCAATAAATAAATATAAAAATAAATAAATACATGCGTACATACATACATGCATACATAAATAAATAAACAAATACATGAATACACATACATACATACATACATACATACATACATAATTGAGATGTGGTTCAAAAGACACTGTGGTGAAAAGGACTTTCAGAAATCTCCAGTGATGCATGTATATCCAAAGTGTGGCTGGGAAACTTCTGGTCAATCAAGTTGACCAGACACCAGACGAGCCATAAGAGATCATTCTGCTTTGACCCCTGTGTCTCCCTGGAATCAATACCAGAAAGCAACAGGAGCTGGAGACTGTCTGTCTCCATCATCTACTTACTTATAGTGGTGTGCAATGGAGACAAAGGGATGAAAAGACATTGCATCATGCATTTTCCAGGGTCTGGCATATTTTGGTGGTGTAGATCTTATTGATATCACTAGCAAGCTCTGAATTTTGAGAGGTCCAGGATTTGTGTGTAGGCTATTTTGCGTTATGTAATGACCCCCTGTGGCTCTACAGCTTGGTATTCTGGTGTGTGATGGATGATAAAATGCAGGCCAGATTTGAGCACAATGGCCCCCTGTTTCAAAGCACATCAAAGCTTCTCTGTATCAGGCCAGGAATGTGGGGTGCACAGCCTGGTTACATCACGCAAACCTTGCCCCAAGATGAAGAGCATTCATGGTTAATTTCCGAGTTGTTATGGCGATGACTTTTGGGTCACAACACTGGAGCAAACAGTATTTATGTTGTGCAAGGAAAGTGATACCCATCTAGGCGTCATATCTTACTGTACTCTACTACCCCTTTCCAGACTGGGCTAAAACACTGAAACTCCAGCAGCAGTGATTTTGAATGTGTGTTTGCATATGTTTTGTGTGTTTGTATGAGTGAAGAAGGTCCTGTTATCTAACACAAGCTCCATGGCCATGAAAGTCTGACATTGTTACTGTAGCTTGCATTCAGGGTCATTTTAAGGGGTATTTGGGGCACCATTGTGTGTTCAAGTTTCTTGCTGAGGTCTTTACTTTTCATTGCTTTAGTGTAGACAAATGCATGTGGCTGGAGGATTTAGGTTTTTAACCTCGTGATGGCATCTTATCTTTAGAAGACTATTACGGGGTCCTCACATCTGTTCACATAAAGATAACCATGTAGAAGAATCCACTGTAAAGAGTATTTTATTTAAAATTAGAAATTACTGACACAAAACTTTTTTTTTTGTAGCGTAAAGGAGAAAATGATTCTGTACTATTAAAATTGTGCTCTGCTGTTAGCATTATATTCAGTATTTTTTTATCTAGTCTTTATACCAAAAAATTTTTTAATGGTACCACTACTGGTGGCCACACATACATGTTTCTAGGCAGGTGATGGTCTGTGTGTTGAGGATAATGTAAAACAGTACAGTTTGGCTTTTCTTTCCCATAGAAGGGCAGCAGAGGAAATGAAAAACACAGTTGGCGGTTTTGAAAGCCTTTTTCTCCCTCACATTACCTTGATTGTAATCCCCGTAATGCTGATCTGGGATCAGGCCTCCGCATTCTCACTAACATCTGCCATTAATAAGTGAAACTACAAAACTGATCTCACGTCTGTGCCTATCAAGCGCAACAATAACCTCTCATTCTTTCTTATCTCCAGTGAGTTCGGTACCTGTAATCATGTCCGCAGAACGCCTCCCTCTCCGGCCTTTTGCCTGTAGTTCTTTGATGTGCGTTCATCCTAGAGCATTCCTACCCCTATCGCACCCATTCCCCCCTGTCACGGCTCAGGCTCTGGGTCCAGAACAATGGGTCTATTGCTCACTTCTGATCTCTCTACCTCACCTGCATCTGGGGTCGAGCCCCAGCTGGGTAGAGCCAGGTCAGTCCAGGTACGGGTTGGGAAGAAAGTCTCTGGGAAGAGAGGGGAGGAAAGGGGTGAAATTTGAACAGAGTGCTTGAGAAACTGTCAGTTCTGGGATTAGCCACACAAGCTTGACACTTCTTCCAACCAGTTTCCTCAAATCCATGACTGCACACACATAGCAGCAACTACATACACATGCAGGCCTAGCTAGTGAGCGTTTTGCCGTTTTCCTCCCATGCTTATCTCCTGGCTTGAAAATTGCAGAGTGCGAATGAAAAATGGCTTGAGGTAGTAATGAAAGTATAAAGGTATTGTATGTAGGAATGTGCACCACTAGATATTTTCAGAAATAACGATGGTATGCCTGAACAACTGAACTATGGAAGCCCATAGGCTGGTTTCAAATTGACTGGATTTTTTTTAGTGGGTCGTTCCCACAAGACTCGTTCTCCTGTGTTCAAAAACCGTCTGGAGAACAACAAAATGCAGGGACCTAATTATTCTTATAGAATACATTTTACATTGTATTATATTATATTATATACTGTATTTATTATATTAATTCACCAAATCAGCATATTAGAATGATTTCTGAAGGTTCATTTGACACTGAAGACTGGAGTAATGATGCTGAAAATGCAGCTTTGCCATCAAATAAATACATTTAAAAAATATGTTAAAATAGAAAACTGTTCATTAAAATTGTAATATTATTTCACAATTTTACTGTTTTTGTTGTATTTTTGATCAAATAAATGCAACCTTGGTGAGCATAAGACTTATTTAAAGCTAAAAAATAAAGTGAATTGAATTGAACAGTATCATATTTAAAAGTATATGTTGATAAAACAAAATGTGATATACATATTTTGCTGCTTGTTATAACCTTATTGGAAAAGTTGTGTCTTGAAATTCCTCTACTTAAAATCTGTCTCATATGAGCTGATTTTTTATTTTCATTAATAGGCTACATATAAAAAACACATCTTGTGTGACCCATCCCTAATCTGTATGTGGTTCAAGAATATGCCCAATACAACTTCACATTGTCGTTAAGGATTTGTATTGGTATTAATATTCTGTAAGAAGAAGGAAAAGAGCTACAGAAATAAGTTTAATTCTCGACTGTTATTCTATTATTATTTAAATTGTATTTATTTAATATATTTAAACAATGGCTGGTTATATAATTTTGATGGACCCTTTTGAAACTTAACAACCTGTAATTTAATGTCTAGGCATTCAGGAAGAAGGAATTTAATTTTCATAAATTGCTTTTAAGGGTGGAGGGTCATCAGAACAAGATTTCTGCTTTGTCTATTAATATTAAAAGGGGAAAACATCAGCACTCAATTCCCGGCAGAAATGGTACAGCCTGACCTTGTATTTGCTCAGTTGAAGAGAGAACACAGAATACAGCACATGTGTACATAAAGGAAGCTTTCACGACTCTACTTATTAAAGGCACAGTATGTAAGTTCCATCGCCAGATGTTGGTTATTCAAAACAATATCAAATGGGTATCTTGTTGATGCTGTTAATTAGCGTGGAATCATGGGAGTTGTCATCTTCACCTCCACATCCGATGAAAAGCAATCCGACGGGACTCAGGCAGAAATCATGTTCATGGATTAGCTACTGTGTTAAAGTTTTATTAATAACATTACTGTGATATGAAGCAGGGTGGGACGAGGGCCTGAGACATTTTACATTGCTGATTTTATTATGCTTAAATGCTGCAGCTCCTTTCATTTGGTTGTTTACTATTAAATTTATGATTAAAGTTATGTTTAATGTTCGCCTCCTGAACTTGAACTTTGTTACAGTTACATCTGATCACTTAAATTCACATTATTTTATTTCATTCTAATGAAACCGCCAGATGTACTGAATTACTAC